ACACTAGACAACAAGGGCTAATCTTTAAAATACTGTGCCTAATTAGCATATGAAATTAGGGCCTGCTCCTTTCCATGGATTTCAGTGGGCACTGCATCAGGCCCTGAGTGTGACTGCATGTAAAAACTGTGACTTTGGGCTAGACAATTAAGGACACCTTTGCAGACTTGCAATTTTGAAAATTAGGCCTTCAGTACCCTTCACAAATATTGTACATGATACAGAGCATGGTCAAGAAATACACAAAATTCGAACAGAAAATACCAATCCATAATGTACGGAGTGTGTAAAAGACTAAAAAAGTAACCCATAAAATAGGATGATATGCGAGGCAATCATTTTTTTCAGTTAGCTTTCTAGATTATATGCATTTGAGCCTCTCATTTACTTTAATAGTTTTATTAATCCAGTTCCTTTTCAAGTTATCCTCCACAATTATGTAATAGCAAAGTAAAAAAGTATACCAAAGTATTGTATTATTAAAATTTGTCCCTGTAGTAAGTGGCAATCAGAAGCATAGGTGCAGAAAGTAGGGGTGTGTGGGGTGCTGCAGCATCCCCAGGTATTATGCAGGGCCACTGGCCCCACGCCCAGGGCTCCACTCCCTGGCTTGGGTCCTGGGGGCCAGTCCCGTGGCCTGCTCCCCAGCCGCTGGCTCCACACATAAAACCTGGGGGTGCTTCCTGCGCCTGTGCCCTGATCCCAGCCCTCCGCCTGCACTCTGCTGGCCCCACTCCCCGACTGCTGGCCCTGTGCCCAGGGCCTGGCCCGCCTGCTCCGCTCCCCAGCCACTGGCTCTGTGCCTGGCCGCACCCCCCACTCTCAGCCTCCACTCCCAGGGCTCTGCACCCGGCCAGGGCTCTGCTCTTGGCCCGGCACGTGGGGTCCCAGCTGCAGGCCCCTGCCCGGGGATCCGTTCCTGCCCCCACGCCCGCCTCCAGCTGTGGCCTCGGCCACCTTACCCCTGTCCGGGTCCCCTCCTCCCGGAGACACAGCCCTGCTCCCAGCCTCGGCGCGGGGGGGGCAGCACGGACAGGAGTAAGGGGGCTGGCTTTCAGCACCCCCACTACTAAAAATGTTCTAGCGCCCCTGGTCAGAAGTCAATGTCATCAGACATGACTATTATCCAAAACATACAAACAAACAAATATCAGACCTTGCATCATTTTTAACTATATCTAAATTTTGTTGTATTGTAAGGACTAAAGCCTGCCAAATTAATGCTTCTATTTGAAATTGTTATGCAAGGCCTTATTATTGCTGAAGCATTATTTTTTTTTAAATGTGTTCAAACTAAAGCTCATGGTGAAAGTAATTTGTAATATGATGCTGTGTGGAATAGTCAGACATGCCCGTCTGCAGGACTTATGGGAACCATAAAGAGATTAAACCTCTCATTCCTCTCTTTGGCAAGTGATCTGTTACTTTTAAATAAAGGTCAATCTGTCTTTACAAAGAACACAGTGAAAGCAAGCTTAATCGTTTTCCCTACCGAACCTAGAACATAACTATTTAAAACATAATTAACAACGGGGTGGCAGTCGCTGATTGTACTTTTTCCTTTTTCTGTGTCTGGGAAGTTTTGTATCAGAGGGGTAGCCGTGTTAGTCTGAATCTGTAAAAAGCAACAGAGGGTCCTGTGGCACCTTTAAGACTAACAGAAGTTACTTGGGAAACTTGGGAAGTTTTGGCATCCCCAATTAGTTTTAATAGGGGGCACTGTACTAGCTATCAAATTGACAGTCTTGACCTGCCCTCCAGAAGCAACTGTAAAACAATATTTGGACAAATTAAGATAAATGCCTCATCGGAAACATGACTAATGTTACTACAACATGGATATTCATGTTTTATTTCATGATGTAGGGTTTTTTTTTAATCTGATATGCATGAGGGCAAGCACTCTGTTACTGTAAATAAGAGATGCTGGAGAGAAAAGACACTAGTTACATTAACTCATTTTAGTTCCATATTTCAAATTTCTTTTTTGTTTAAAAGTATCTGTGACTAGTGAGTTCATTGTTTTCCGTTATTACCAGAATGACCAGCCATGCCATCAACTCAAAACTTAGATATGCTAATGCCTGCATCAAGGCCAGGGTTATCACATCAGTTTTGGGGATATTCTGATTATGTAAAGGGGAGTGACTATAAGAACTACTTAGGCAGGGGTGTCAAACATACAGCCCACAGGCCGATCTAGCCAATGGTATGTGTGTATGTGGCCTTCATGACACACAGATGCTCAAGAATCGATTTATTTTTTTAAGAAAATTTTCAGCGCTAATGGCAAATGTGAACCAAATGTAATCGATGCAAAGGTGTCTGCCCGAGTTTGCAGACAGTATGAACCAATAGTGCAGAGACTGAATGCCCCTGACCCTGAGTCAATGATTACAGTCCAATTTACACTTTTGTGCCCTCACTAAATATGTTTTAATCACTGAACATTGTTAGTGGAAGGAATGAGGACGAAGATCAGAGCAAAGCAAGCCTACTGGGTTGGGAATTGGGCGTTGCTGAACAGAAGGAAATGCAGAGAGAAAAAGCAGAGTAGACTCACAAAGGCAGGGATGGGGGAGAAACACAGAGAAAGCAGGAAGGGAAAGGAAGAAAAACAAAGGGGAAATACAGTGGCTGGCCCAAAGAGGGGAAGACTTATCACTGAATGACAAATGCAACAAGAAGAAGAAATCATAACTAACTAAATTTTTAGGCCCAAATTCACAAAGGGAATTAGGCATGAGTCACCTAAGCTAGCCAATGGGAGATGTTGACAAGAGGGGAGTATCCTAAACCTAGGGTGACCAGATGTCCCAATTTTATAGGGACAGTCCCGATATTTGGGGCTTTTTTTTATATGGGCTCCTATTATCCCCCAACCCCCATCCCGATTTCTCACACTTGCTGTCTGGTCACCCTACCTAAACCCCACCCCTCTCAGAGTCAGGCACCTAAGCTGCTTGACTCTAGGAAAGAGGATCCCAGTTCATGGCTCACCAGTGAGACAGGCACTTCCCTGCAGTCTGGACTTAGCACCTAAGTCAGTTTCTGAGAGAATGAGTTAGATCCTGCCTCACTGCACACAAAAGAGCCAGAGAAGGTGGTGTCACCACCACCCATCTTATAACCTCTAGTTGAGTGGTTAGAGCACTCACCAGTGATGTGGGAGACCCATGTTCAATTCACCCCTCTGCTGAGGTGGGGAAATGATTTTAACAGGGGTCTCTGATCCCTTGGGGGTTGCAGGCTCTAACCACTGAGCTGTAGGATATTCTGATGTGGGAATCTCTCCTGTTGAAGCTGTTCCACTGTGGATAAACACTTAAAGAGTCATTGGGTGAGAAAGTGTGAGCATGATTCTTCAGGTTAGTGTTTAGAGCACTCACCTGACAGTGCGAGACCCAGTCCCCCTGCTGCAATGAATCCCACCCTTAGTTCCTACATAAAAACCATATTTTTCATTTGATCTCTGTGCAAACTTCAAACTGAAACCAATGGGCATTTCACTGTGAGAACTATACAGTCCAGAATATACACCCAGTCCCAGGCCCATAATTAGCTTAGAATTTAGCCTGGGGGGCTCAAGGAGTTGGTAAAGGGGTGCAAAGACATTGTCAAATGATCTAAGCCTAGGACTAGTGTCCCAGAAATTTGAATCTAAACACTGGTGCCCCTTGTAGAGTCACTCTATCTCAGTTTTCCTATTTCAAATCAGTTCAGTACTTACCCACCTCCCAGGAGTGTATTTTTAGGATTGATTAGGTATCAATCAGCTGGCATTTTACAAACTTCAACTTATTTATAAGCGTTATTTTTACAGAACTTTTCTCCTCTAAAATACATCTAGTTGTGCCTCATAACCGTTTCCATCTGATAGCTCTTTGGTGATATATGTGAAATGAGTCTGTGTTTGCAGTTTAGTTCTGCTGCAAGTGAGCAGATGTCCACATCACCAAAACCATCATCAGAACTGATACCTTTGTTGGCAGGTCACAATAGAGAGACCAAGGATTTAATGGGCATATAAGACAAAAGAACCAGAGACACAGGGAAAGCCATGCATTTGGCCAATCCTATATTTGTTCTGTGGTTAAACAGAGGATTTCAGTCCCCAGGTCTTTCAGTTCAGCTCTTTCATGAACACTATATTTATTTTAAGAGGTAATTAAATAAATTACAACATTTAGGAGTTGGTGAAAAATTAAATGGATCTGCATTTAGTTTTACAAACTGTGTAAGTATACACATTAAAGTAAGAAAAATAAAGCATTATGTAGTTTTGTACATATAAGCTTATTATAATCCACATTAATTCTGCCTTTCTGCTTTTGTAAAATTTATTCATGCTTTTTTGTTTGCTACATTTCTATGATTTATCTTTTTTCTAGCCAGAGGACATGGCAAGGGACTGGGAAAGTCTGTGATTGATTCACCCAGCAAAACTCAACTCAGATACAGCATTCCTTCACTTTATTTTTTCCTAGTTTTTCAGCAAGAAGACCCAAATAACGCCCAAGCTCTTCTGGTTCCTAATCGCGTGTTTTAATCACTAGTCAGATCCCACCACCTGAAAGCATTACAAACGTATTGAATTTCAAACCATCCTCCATCTCAGGCGCTCTTGAAAACTAAAACCAATGGCTGAGAAAAACAAATATTTTACCTGGTTACCACCAACCCAGTAACACTGATGTGTGGAAACTCTAGTGAACTCTTCACAAAGACATTAGGCTTCCACATGTTGATCCTTACCAAAAATACACGATGAAGATACTTGGGTTTGCTAACTGCTTTTTTCATGATTAATGTGCTTCTGCAATTTACAAAATCTTAATATTTTTTTATTCCACAAGACCTTTGCTACTTAAATTAATGGGGGCCAATTATAACTCCTTTGTGCCTTTTAGCATGTCCATGTTAAAAAAATGTCATGCTGTTTTGCCCTTCCTGACTAAAAAGATACAGTCCTTAAACACTTGCTTTGTTCTTTATTCTAGGTCATGGGTTATATGGGACTTTTGAAATGTTGTCCTCCTGGAGGAAAACTAGAGAAGACCAACATGTTAAAGAGAGAACTGCAGCTGTGTTTGCAGACTCCATGCTCTCCTTTTCTCTCACCACTGCCATGTACCTGGTCACTTTTGGAATAGGTGCCAGTCCCTTCACTAACATTGAAGCAGCAAGGATTTTCTGCTGCAATTCCTGTATTGCAATTTTCTTCAACTACCTCTACGTACTCTCCTTTTATGGTTCCAGCCTGGTGTTTACTGGCTACATAGAAAACAACTACCAGCATAGTATCTTCTGCAGAAAGGTACCAAAGCCAGAGGTATTGCAAGAGAAGCCTGCGTGGTATAGGTTTCTTCTGACAGCCAAATTCAGCGAGGACACAACCGATTCAGAGGAAACAAATACTTATGAAAGTCATCTTTTGGTGTGTTTCCTCAAACGCTATTACTGTGACTGGATAACAAACACTTACGTCAAGCCTTTTGTAGTTCTCTTTTACCTTATTTATATTTCCTTTGCCTTAATGGGCTACCTGCAGGTCAATGAAGGGTCAGACCTTAGTAACATCGTAGCAACCGCGACACGAACCATTGAATACACTACTGCCCAGCAAAAGTATTTCAGTAACTACAGCCCAGTCATTGGGTTTTATATCTATGAGTCAATAGAATATTGGAACACAAGCGTTCAAGAAGATGTGCTAGAGTATACTAAAGGGTTTGTGAGGATATCTTGGTTTGAGAGCTATTTAAATTATCTTAGGAAACTCAACATATCTACTGGATTGCCCAAAAAGAATTTTACTGACATGTTGAGGAACTCTTTCCTGAAAGCCCCCCAGTATGCCCATTTTTCAGAGGATATCATCTTTTCCAAGAAATACAACAACGAAGTTGATGTAGTAGCTTCAAGGATGTTCTTGGTGGCTAAGACAATGGAAACCAAGAGAGAAGAACTCTATGATCTCCTGGAAACCTTGAGGAAACTCTCTCTCACATCCAAGGTGAAATTCATCGTTTTCAATCCATCATTCGTATACATGGATCGTTACGCCTCCTCAGTGGGAGCCCCCTTACAAAATTCCTGCATCAGTGCTTTATTTCTGCTCTTCTTCTCGGCATTCCTGGTGGCAGACTCTCTAATCAATGTCTGGCTCACTCTAACTGTTGCCTCAGTCGAATTTGGAGTCATAGGTTTCATGACCTTGTGGAAAGTGGAACTGGACTGTATTTCTGTGTTGTGCTTAATTTATGGGATTAATTATACAATTGACAACTGTGCGCCACTGTTATCAACCTTTATCCTGGGCAAAGATTTCACAAGAACTAAATGGGTAAAAAATGCCCTAGAAGTGCACGGGGTAGCTATTTTACAGAGCTACCTCTGCTATATTGTTGGTCTGATTCCTCTTGCAGCTGTGCCTTCAAATCTGACCCGTACACTGTTCAGGTGCTTGTTTTTAATAGCATTAGTCACCTTCTTTCACTGCTTTGCCATTTTACCTGTGATACTGACTTTTGTGCCACCATCCAAGAAAAAAAGGAAAGAGAAGAAGAATCCTGAAAACCGTGAGGAAATAGAGTGTGTCGAAATGGTGGATATGGATAGTACCCGAGTGGTTGACCAAATTACAACAGTTTGACTTGTTTGTTTGTTGTCTTTTCACAGTAGGTCTTATTGAGAGAAAAGAGATCATTATTGACTAAATATTGGATTTTTGATTTTTCTTTTCCTAAACTAAAACCAAGAATAGCCAAAATGGTGGTGGGGGGGAGGGAAATTGTACATTAATTGGCCTCCATAACAAAGGTATTATTAGTGAAAGAATTTATACACACACGCAAAGAGTGTGAATTTTAATCACTTGAGGTAAGATCTAATAAGGGAAGATGGGTTACTAAGCACTGTTCTGCCTTCTCTATACTGCAGATACAGCTATTATTATTGCTGAGCCCAATCAAATTGAAAGGTCAACTGTCAAGGCTGAAGTAACGCTCAGTGTTCATCCGGAGGTAAAGGCTTTACAAACTTTCTGCACAGCAATAATTCAGCTCAGTGAGTCAGCTCTGATAGGTCTTAGCCATCACACTGAACTTTTCTTTTCTCTTTTCCTCGAATGAAAACATTCATGCAAGTTTGTATAACAGAAAGCAAATTGAACTAGGGAAGAAGGCTGTATGCAGCAACCAGACACTTTCAGAACAAATTTGTGTTACAAATCATTTTCTTTTCTAAAAATACAGTTATTTTAAAATGTAATTCATCCCCAAGAACATTTTTAAAGTCACGGTTTTTGTAGCTGTTCCTTTTTAAAAAAACAAAAACAAAAAATGTCAGTGTCTCTGGTACGCTAGAAGATGTACGATTCTATTTTATGAATGTCTTGCTACTAGTTAAACAAGGGATCTGCTTGACCAACCGTAGTTTTGTTAGTACTGTACTAACATATACTAACGGCTCTAACAGCAGATAAAAGATGGTGTACTGAATATTTCAGCACCAAAATCCATGAAACAAGCCTCAAATACCTAATGTCACCAAGGAAAAGTGAATGTTAGGGCTCCTTTAATAAGAGTCTCTTTCAGGCCATTCACTAGTAATGCACACTAAGAGGATTAATGGATAGTTTTACATAATGTATAACTTAATCCCTCAATCTTCCTAGAGTAGCTGTAAAGCAATAGCCTTCACAGTTATGGGCTCTTCCAGGAGACAGCAGACCACAACGCGAGTTATATATTACAGTTCAAAGGTAGGACCACACTAACAGTGTCATGTTTAACTGTCTCCCCAAAGAGCCTGTATCAAAGGGGCCTATTGAAAACACCACTTTTTTTTTTTTTTTTTTTACATTACTGAATCTTTTTGGAGCATTGTGTTCTAAATCAATAATTATGTCAGCATCTGTGATGTGGAGTAATGTGGATAAAGAAGCATCCTCACCCCCACCCCCACTTAAGAACCACAGGACATTGTTGTGAGGTTTTATACCAACACATAGACTAATTGACTTGGTTGTGCTAGAGCATTCTAAATTAGTCAGCTAAAACCCAGTAACATGCAGCTGGCTTTTGTGCGAGAAGTTCTAGTGACTATTCTCTGTTAACATCTGTCCAGAAAGTAAAAGTACTTGAAAATATTTCAATAACTGGGAAAATGTTCACTTAACTCATGGGTTGTGGAACTCAAACTGATGTTTTCTGGTGTGTGCTTGGGCTAACTAGGGTGCTTTGGTTTCAGGAGGCTGCATGTGTTACACAATGATTAATGCATCCATTGTAATGAATTGGTGATTTGCCCATCACTGCATAGTACCGTTCTTTAGCACTAATTCAAAATGGCTCCCATTAGACCTGTGTGAAATCCTCAGATTCCATTTTGTGAATTTTAATTTTCAAAGAGATATTTCTTACAACTTTTTGCTTAGTCAAAAATTCAGACCTTTTACCCTGAAGCAAAGTTTGATGACTATGTAGGAGCAACTGGAAGCTCTAATGCAACTTCATTCTTGGCAGAAAAACTGTCAGACATCCTCAGGCTTATAGAAAGACAACAGAACCTGGGGATGGGTGGAAAGGTACTTTAAAGACGTGTTGTTTGTTTGGGGGTTTTGTTTTGTTTGTTTTTGATATGTTCTTAAGGCTCAGGACAGGAGGGATAGCTCAGTGGTTTGAGCACTGGCCTGCTAAGCCCAGGGTTGTGAGTTCAATCCTTGAGGGGGCCACTTAGGGATCTGGGGCAAAATCAGTACTTGGTCCTGCTAGTGAAGGCTGGACTCAATGACCTTTCAAGTTCCCTTCCAGTTCTAGGAGATAGGATATCTCCATTAATTTATTTATTTATTATTGTTCAGAGCAAATTTCTGATAATGGACAAGCATGTAAAAAAAAGAAAAAAAGAAAAACCGAAATGCAAATGACAGTCAAGTTCAGTCTAGTCTTTCTTGCAAGATTATTCCCTATGGTGGCTTAACATGAGTTCATTTTTCAGTTTACAAGTATTCCATTCTGGGAAAACACTGAGAGAGAAAAACTGGAACATCTGGAATAATTTCACTGCAAACAGAAATTGGCCAGGGCAGAATTTTCTGCCCAAAGCTTTACCAGAGAATTTTCTAGTTAGATTAAAATTAGAACTGTGAAAGCTGAGGAAAACCTGTCTGGCAAGGAACAGCTCCTTTTCCAAAAACAAACAAGCTCAATGAGGTCAGTTTTATGAGCCTAAAGGGAGAGTACATCACTGAAGCAGCTTGATATGTCTATGAAACATACCAGCATTTGCTTCAGATCCTAGAGCCTTCCTGATCCAGGGCTGAATTCAGACAAAATGGATGAAGAAGTGGCAGGCTGTAAAGTGACAATTTGTATTTTTAAATGCTGTTCTGGATTCACTCTCCTCCTTCCTGCCAGTTGCCACAACCTACCCCAACCAAAAATTTGATTTCCTTCGTTTAAAAAAAATAAAATAGTTAAAGCAATGTCACAACCTGACAGTCCCTGTTAAGAATGATGCCCACATCCTTAAACAAGAGAGAAGCAAAGCCCTCTGTTAAGGCTGAGTTCTACAAAGGGAAAAACTTTAGTTATTTCTAGCTTTCCAATGTTAACAGAGACATGGTTTCCTGTTTCTTAAAGTTTGAAAGTAGATAAAATTACTACGGGCCAAATCCTCCCACAGTAGGCCTTGTATACAATTCTACTTCATGGGGCTGTGGGGACTGGAAGCAGAGGGCATGGATAAAGAGTCCAGGCTCCCTGTCCACAACGGAAGGGCTCCAGCTATCTGTCACGGAGTGTGGGGGGACTCAGGGCCCTGCACCCCCGGCGTCCTGCGATTCACCATGACTCTCAGCCAGCCAGTAAAGCAGAAGGTTTATTTAGACGACAGGAATGCAGTCCCAGACAGGTCTTACAGGCGCAGACAACAGGACCCCCTCAGTTAGGTTCATCTTGGGGTCCCCGGGCACCCTAGCCCCCTTAGGGGATCAGAGCCCTGTCTGCCTTCCAGCCAAGGTCACTAGCCAGCTTCTGAGACTCTGCCTTCAGCGACCCCTCCCCCAGCCTTTGTTCAGTTTCCCGGGCAAAGGTGTCACCTCGCCCCAGCCCCCTCCTGGGTTCTCATGTTACAGGCTCAGGTATTTTCAGTCAGTCTCCCATCCCCCAATGCCGACTATCCCAGCCACACTCCCCTGTCAGCATTCACAGACCACAGTAAGAACAGACCTAGTTCGTCACACTATCCTAGCGTGGATAGATTTTGGAGACCAGGCTGAGGTACACACTGGGGAAAGTGTAAGATGTGCTCCTTGCATTAGTGACTGCTGCAGGACCCCAACGGTAAGCCCCCTCCCCACTTTTTTAAAGTCTTTGCATAGTGGAGAGGATTTCTCCCCAAATATTTCCTGTACAGTATTACTAGATATCAATACTTAATGCAGTAAGTATCAAATGATACTACACCTCTACTCCTATATAACGCTGTCCTCGGGAGCCAAAAAAATCTTACCACGTTATAGGTGAAATCGCGTTATATCGAACTTGGTTTGATCCGCCGGAGTGCGCAGCCCCCCTCACCCCCGGAGCGCTGCTTTACCGCGTTATATCCAAATTCATGTTATATCGGGTCACATTATATCGGGGTAGAGGTGTATTATCTCCAAACAAGATGTATTTTTCCCCCTTTTTCTTTTTATAAATTTGGTAATAAATATTTCTAGTGATAAAGTTATCTACCTTTGAATGTTCTTAAATTAGGAACAGTATCTATTCATTTCAATTCCAGTCATGAAAACTGACTACCCACTAGGTCTTTGGTGAAGCGGACTGGTAGCATCAGCAGGAAACTAACAACTAATCCACCTACCATAGGTGTATGTATAGGCCCTGATCCTGCATTCACCCCCACACAGTTGGACCCTTGTCCAACTGGGACTCTGCACCGGCACAGGGGTCAACCCTCCTGACTCAGATTGCAGGATTGGGGCCTTAGGTTTAAATTCTGGCAGAGCATTGCACATAGGAACCCCCCATGAAATTCATTCACCACAGGGGAAGTGCAAGGCAGAACTTTTCTGATCCTATCCTTGCTAGAGCCCTGGTAGAGGCTGCTCGGCAAGCCTTGCCTACCTGCAGATGCAGAGAGGTGCTCCTGACTGCTACACTGAATCATGGGGCATGGCTCACATATATTTGCAGATATGCCCCCTTATCCAGCAGTGGCACCTAGGCGTGCACACACACACATAGCCCTACATAGTTTAGCCACGCTTCTAGCTGTTGCTACGCAAAGGATGGGCGCACAATAATGATGCCTTTGCAAGCATGTATTGTGTGGCCTTTTGGGAGGCACATATTTCTTAGACTTGAATTTGTCTCTGATAGTCTGCCTTCTAAAAATCTTCACAACCATTTGTTTGGGGGGAAAACAGATACAAAAAATTCTAGGTCATTTTGAATTTTCCAGCTCCAAGATATTCAAAAGTCTTAATCCATGTGGTAAATTAATGTCTTGCAAAATTTCAGGTGATTTTTGGTTACTATTTTTGTATTAATTTAGGAAAACACTTGTATAACAAATCTCAATGTACAGCCAATGCCTAAAATAAAATGTCTCTCCCTCTCTCTTGCTCTCTCTGCTTCCTGTGCTCCCAAACTGCTGCAGAATCATATTCTGTCGC